GGGATGCATTCTTGGCTGCAGCACAATACCTTTCCATGGAACCTTAGGTAGTTGGGGGAATTGTAGCCGATATAGCTTCCTAATGCTGAAAGGAATTGCCATTTTGTAATTGATCCAGCCTGCTAAAAGGTTGCCTTGAATACCCTGAACATCCCCTATGAGATTCCTTGAATCCAGAATTTTCCTGATTACCCAAGCTGCATTCTGGTATTGGCATATGTTCTAGCATGTGGTGCTTTATGTAGAAGGTATGAATCCATTTGATCCATAAGAATCTTTTAGCAACGAGCATCTCATGTAAACTTGTGACTACAATTAATATCTTTAATTTTTTGATAAATATAATTGAAACTTTCAGATAACGATAACTTCTGTCATTGTGTGTTCTCCTGTAATAATTGAAAAAAAATTATAGGAACTCTTAAAATTTCAAGGCCACCTATTAGTAGATTCCATCTAGGATTGATAAAGGTGGTAAAAAGAGTTTAGACTTTAATTAAAAAAAATCCGGGCAAACTTTCTACACGAAAAAAGGTCCACTTAATTTATCTATAATTTTGATAAATTATGGATGACAAATAAGATTTTTATGCACTTAAGTTACAAATTACCAAATTCAATCACCATTGTTGAACGATCATTAAATAACAAAGATATAGCTAAGATAAGAATCCAAAAAAAAAAAAAAAAAAGAGCACGTTTCTAATTTTACCAATCACTTTCGTAATACTTGGAAATGTGAAGTATGTTCAACTTCCTTTTTCTACCTACACCATTTATTTTAAAATTTTGACAAATTAGGACCATATATTATTTTTTTATTTCTTACAATACAAGTTATTTCTTCATAATTAGGATTAAGCTAAAAGTTGTTTTATCGATTCCTTACAGGATAACTAGAAAAATTTTTACCATGTTAATCTATACAATTAATTTGACTAAATTGGTCATCATGTTCAAAAGATATTAAATTTAGCAATCGTATCAATGTAATAACATTTTTTCGTCATTTAAATAAAAAATTGCATTATTTTAATGTCAACTTGTAATTTTTCAAAAAATTATTCTTTCGTATATATCTTCTATTGATTGAGTAGTATACACGCGCAATGCACGTACACTAAAACTAGTTGAAACTAAAAGTGAATGAGCCTAACACGGTTAAAGATTTATTGGTTAATAGACCTAAATAATTTGCTTATAAATTAACACCGTGTTTCCCGTTCTTCTTGTGACGAATTGTAGATATTATACTGACTAAAACGTCATGATTTAACATGAAGTAGTTTGGAAATAATATGTTTTGGTCAATTTACATGATCAGACCGACCAAACTTAGTTAATTAATATACTTCAATCTAAGCAACAAGTATGTAGCAGCAAAATTTTGATCACTCTATGTGGTTCGGCAAAATAGAACCTCTTTATTTTGCACGCTTAAGAAGCATCAATAAAAGGCATCAAGAATCTAGGTTATACCCTAGCCAACATGAAGTAAATAGGGTAGGCATCAAGAGTGTTAAAATGCAAAGAGAAGAACAGATGTTGAGCTCGAATGAGCTCCAATGGCGGAAAACAGTTAACAGAAAAAGGAGAGAGATATTTTGAGAAGCTTTCAGAGACTTTTTTATTAGAGAAAATGAAAGCTTAAAGCTTTACAAAGTGTCTGGTGATATTTATACACATAGAGCTTTGCTTGACAACTGGCAACTAACTAATTAACCTAACTAAGAAAAAGATAGTAAATAAATACAATGTAAGAAATGGCTAGTTAACTAATTAACTAATAATCTCAACACCCCCCCTCAAGTTGGAGGGGAGGACTCCACTGCCAACTTGCTAAGTAAATGGGAATGCTTGATCCCAGTTAAGGACTTTGTGAATATATCAGCCAGTTGCTCATTTGTAGGAACATGATGTAGAGATACCAGTCCCTCCTGCAGCTTTGTTCTAACAAAATGGCAATCAACTTCTATGTGCTTCGTGCGCTCATGAAACACTGGATTCTTGGCAATTTGCAATGCTGCTTGACTATCACAGAATACAGGGACAGGAAGATTCATAGGTACAGTCAGCTCCTCCAGTAGTGTTACCAGCCAAACTAGCTCACCCACAACCTGTCTAGCTGCTCTATACTCTGCTTCAGCTGAAGACAAAGAGATAGTGGTCTGTTTCTTTGATTTCCAACTGATGGGACTAT